ATCGTGTGTGCTTTGAAACAGTGTTTAGCGGGTTTGCTAGCACGAACCAACCGGTTGGAACAGGATAACATCCCTAGTATGCAAAGTCTATTATAGACTAAAGTATTATAATATAGGAAATAACAAAAATGTCAGAAATAATAAGAAAAAATATATAAATGCAAAAAATGTTCTAATTTATGAAAAAATGTCTAATTTATAGGCTGTTTATGGATAATCCTAATATCTAAATTTTCACAAATAGTGGATGTTGAATTTCTGACTTTAAGAGGCGCATTCTTATCTACGAGTTCAATGTCAACCTTTCTATAAAGTAAAGCCAATAATAATTTCATTTGAAGCATTGAAATAGCTTTACCCAAACATACTCTTAAACCTCCACCAAACATTGAATATGAAAATTTATGTTGATCTTTAATTTCTTGATCTTCATAAAACCTTTCCGGAATAAACTTTTCAGGATCTTTCCAATAAAGAGGATTATTATTAATCCCTCGAACGTACATTATGAACAAAGTGTCAGTAGTTGATGGCCAATAATATCCTGCTATTTCATCAGCATTATCAGTATATCTCGATACGAGAGGGACTGAAGGTCTTATTCTTGACGTTTCTTTAATAATTGCTTCACAATATCTTAAATTATTAAGATCATCCATAGTTATCGGTCTAGTTAGATCATCTTTGAAAACTGTTTTTATCTCTTCTAGTAACTTCTTTTTAACATTTGGATGCAGTGAAATGTAATATAATACAAAGCAGAAAGTATTTGAGATCTATAAAATGAAATATATTTGTAAGTTAGTAATTATAGTATTATTACTGTAATATTGACGAATTAAATATATTATAAAACAGGTGCCTACAATAACTTTTATATTATTTAATTCGTAAATATAACTCGCACAATATCTTACTATACTAATCACCATTACTTACAGTATCTGAAGGCACGTATGATTCAAATAAAACACCAAGTATTTCATCATCAGTCATTTGCCTTGATAATAAAGGATCATCATTTACTTGAGAATTAACATCGTATGGAGTATTAGTAATAATCATCGACGTTAATAGATCATTTCCTAATTGTTTTGGGTCAAAATCACTACTATTAACCATTTTTTCGATTTGTTTTCTCCTTTTCTTAATTCTTCCCATAGATTTTTCTTTCATAAAATCACAATCATTCTTCAAATTCTGAATACGACCTCGGAGTATAGGAACATGTCTTAAAATTTTTGGCACAAATACAAATAAATTTTCAGCCTGAAAATTTCTTACGCAGTCAGAATATTTCTCAAATTCCATTATTTCTTTTGTGGCATCAATTTTTTTCAATCTCTGATAATATGATTTCATAGCATATGATGGACTATCAGTTAATACTCCAAATAAAAAATCAAATGAATATTTAAACATCCAAGTGGATGCCTCAATAATTGTTGTATCACTATCAGGCTCTTTTAAGTCAATCCAATAATTTATCATTTCTTCAAATAAATTATTTATTAGCTTAACAGTATTATTAGATTGAGTTGCTGTTCTCATGGCTCGAGTAAAAATTTGACGATTAAATCTCCAATAATCGTAATTACAATTGAATGAAACTCCTTTGTTACTAAAATCAAAAAAATCTAAAAGCACCTTTTCCTTATTTGTTCTCATTAAATGTTTCAAACGGTCATCTTGATGTGGTAACATAAATCTACCCACAAATTCTGCACGACTAATCATTATATATCTAACACCAGCCATATTAAATTCAAATATTCCATTTTGACCAAATTTCTTATTTAAATTATAAGTCCATTCATCAATATCCATATTAGAACTTTTAAGAACTTCAAGATTTCCTATTAAAGGAATTGGTATTGGACCAGGAAAAGGATTTGGGCGAGTAAAATGTTTGTAATAAAAATGAAATATGTAAAAACATATTATAAGTATAAAAAGTTTAAAAATATCAATTTGCTTGATAATGTTGCTTAAAATTATAAATAAATAAATTCATGTTTATTAGATGTTTGTACAGTAATCTCTTTATAATGAATTGATGATTTTTTATAACAAAAAATTTTTAAAGTTAATCATATACCGAATTTATAGGAAAAAGTTTATAATATGATATTCGTTATAAAAAGGTTTGCTATATAGTATGCCCTTTATAAAAAGGTTCGTTATATCGACTAATTAATGAGAATTGACTGTACTAGTTAATGTCTATTGAGATGTTTTTTGTAAAAATATTTTTGGCAAGAACTTTGTCCTATTTATATTATTACTATTTGTTGGAGATCTTATAGGAGTATTGATGAACAAAGTACGATTAATTTACTGGATGGTGATCATGAAGAAGCTTTGTTTCATCGATTTTTAATGAAATTAATTATTAAAATGACGATTCCCACATGAGCTTGGATATTCATGGATATCCATGATTATGTCTTGGACTTGAGTATTATTATGGGAATTCTCGCTTACCAATTTGGGTCCAATATAATTGGAAACATCAAAGTTAGCCCATAGATATATTCACTTTTAGTGTTCCTCATTGGTCGGTTCCTGAAACAGAAAAAACTGGAAACGACCCTAAAACCTGTCCGAAACCAATTATCATAATTCCTGGGAACCTGTAAAAATTTGCCGCGATCCGGTTAAATTATTGATTCGGCATGATCCGTATTAGTATAGCATAGCGGGCTTTCATTCCGATTGGCTAATTTTTGTAGATCATTCCGTGATTTTACAAGATATGATTGGCCA